CCCCCTTCCTGTTTTTTGGTCTGGAAACCCATTGCATTTCAAACGAAGAGGAAGCCTACACGTGGAGACTGAACTCAAGGTAAGAATAAAGTTAGAAAAGTAGGCTAACAATTAAGGTTACTTGGGTTTGTACATTCTTTACAGTGTTCCAATTGTTGTACAAAAATTAGGCTTTAAATGTAATTTGAAGATTGCTTTGTTGTACGTGGATTTTCTGTTAATTACCATGTGGCAACGCTGGGATGGCTATGTTGCTTTACGTGTAGTCTAACATTAATTGAAACTTTGCAAGTGGCCATAGAATGGTTTGTTCTAGTGTAATTTAAAGCCAGCGTTATAATCCAGCAATAAAATAATGTAATGTTAGTGCAAGCACGTGGATTTTTAGAGCAGCCATGAATAAATTAGGGTAACATCATTCGTTTTTTCCCCCAACCTGGGCCTAATTTTATTCTTTAAAAAATATGTATTTGTGTTTAAGTGACTGATGGGAACAACAATTGCCAGGCTTAGACCGCTTCAGTGTGCAGAGGCGAAAGAATTAACGTTAGCCTATAAAATCGTACGTTATATGGGTAATTGCGTTCTTTACATCCACAAAACCTGCTTGTTTTGCCACTGACATGCTATTCTAAGTGTCTGACGACATTACCTAAGATCGCGGACAGCTCCAGCGTTAAAATTAACACGTTAAATCAGCTTGATCTAAAAACTGACTATCATATTAGAAAGATTTAGGATTCCAGCTTGGATATTTGGCCAGTATTTATGACAAAACTGAGTTGCAATGACTTTCTGTCTTTCTTTCTTTTTTATTCTTTTGTCAAATAGTGCAGATAACCATTATAATATCATTATAATATATTTGTGTTCACATAGATGGAATTGACAGCATCCGCGAATGACTCCAAACGTGGGCGCATTTTTTGAAATATTGATTTAGTTTGCGCGCTCTGTTTTTATCCATGGTTTGTGTAAGGTGTTTTTTATACTTTATGGTTAGAGCGCTCATTGGGGGTTTTCAGCCGTCAATCATCTCGTGACCATAGTCCCGTCTTCAGCATGACGCGGTTCACTGCACGCTTCCCCATCGGAGCTCCGAGGGAAAACAAACCAAAGTAGGCTAACAATTAAACTGAAACTGAAGAAAATTTGCTTACTGATGAGCAGGTCAACTAATTGCAGTGTTGTGGAGAGAGTAAAATGTTAAACTATTTTTAATTAGGCTATAGTTGTAGTTAACATTTTTTGCTATGTTTTTGGTTTCTTGCGTCAGTTAACCATTACACTGTGTCCTTACCAGGTGATTTCCTGACAAGTAGGCTACACTGGATAAAGGTTTGTAAATTTCTCTAAATTGGTTTATTGTAGTGAGAAAACTGGGGTTAAAATGTCAAATGGCAAAATTCCTGTTGTCCTGTTTATATAGAAAGTTTTAGTGCTCTTCAATACAGTACATGTGACACACTTACTCATGACCAGTGATGCTGGCATTTGTACTTAAAAAAAAAATGACAAAAATAGTAATGCACAGTAACATGGATAAGTAACTGAAATCTGAACACTTTTGTCAGTCACAAGCAATAATGCGCTACTATTTCCAAAATACGTAATCAGATTAAATTTACTTATTCAAGTTACTGTGCGTTACTATTTTTGTCATTTTCTTTAGTAGAAATGATGGCTGGTATGCGATATGAAACCGAAATTGCGACACTCCTGTGTCACTGTGTGAGAAGGCAGAATCACGACACACCCCTTCCAACTATCAGAATTATCCTTCCCGTCCAGATCCAATGCTACCACATTTTTAATTACTATTAGTATTCTTTGAAGTTAACATTATAAAATACATAGACCTACACCACACTGCACATTCTTCGAGCACATGCTTGCACAAATGTACATAAGTATATAGAACAAAACTACCACAGCACGTAATCCCACCAAGATTTCTGTTTAGAGCAAAGAGCTGTATGCATTCTTCACATTAGCAAACAAAAAGTAGGTTAAATTCTCTCTTCTATATTTCACAGTTTTTGTGATGACGACGATTCTGCAGCCATCCAAGAGGACATCACTTCATTTGTACTCAACATGTTTGTGGTCACCAAAACCAGGGATGGAGGTCTCGAGAAGCAAGCTGGAATAGCCATCAAGGGAGAAGAGGTCCTTTTTGGAATTCCCAGTGTAGCACATGCTTGCACCTATACCTTATGGGCATTATTTATGCCTTGGAACTAAGCTATCCAAATAAACTAAAATACACCTTTGGAGGATGTTAACAAAAACATGCCCTCCAAAATCCAGCTTACTGGCCTAAAAGTATGACGACGTTGTTGTTTATAACTCTGTTTGGACTTTTTGGGACTTTGGCTTATTCACCATATCCCCCAGAGTTAAATAAGTCCACACATACCCTTCTCATCTCTGTGTGTGCCGTAACAGTCAGACGCACCCACTGTTAGCCTAACTTAGCACAAAGACTGGAGGTAAACAGATCCAGCTAGCATACTAATCTTAATAAATGACAAAATAACAATAACATTTCCTATTTACATGTTGTGTTTTTTATAGTCACAGTGTGTACAAATAACAAGGTCATATGAGACAAAACCATCTTCAAAACCGTATACATACAGGGAACTATATTCTCAGAAGGTGAATCACTTCTACTTGGTCAGAGTGATTAGCGCAACACTCTGAGCGAACTCTCTGCTCCTCACCACGGGGCTTCTCAGGTGCTGTGAGAAAATCACTGCATAGAAGAAGTGCTTCACCTTCTGAGAATATAGTATCCAGTGTGTATACGGTTAGAAGATGGCTGTGTCTCATGTGACTTTGTGAACACTCTGTGACTATACAAATCACAACATTTAAATAGGAAAATGTTGGTGTTATTTTGACACTTATTAGGATTAGTATGCTAGCGAGACTGCTGACTTATTGACTTAGTTTACTTAGGTAAACTGCTATTTACCACCAGTCTTTGTGCTAAGCTAGGCTAGCAGTGGGTGGGTCAGACAGAGTTACGGCACACACGTAGATGAGAAAGGTATGTATGGACTTATCTGACTCTGGGGGATATGGTGAATAAGCTTAAGTCCCAAAAAGTCAGAGTGTTCCTTTAAAGTCTTAGAATATGTTACTGTACATGACTGAAAAACACAATTGTATAGAAAATACTCTGTAAATGTTTATTTTTATTGAAAAGTCCTTACTGAGAGTGTTGAAATATAGTTAAACATCTGGTTGGTTGGTTGAGACTGACATAGTACGTTTAAAGGGATAGTTCACCCAAAAATGAAAATTAAGTCATTAATTACTCACCCCCATGCTGTACCAACCCCGTAAGACCTTCGTTCATCTTCAGAACACAAATGAAGATATTTTTTATTAAATTTGAGAGGTGGATCACTGCTACATAGGCTGCCTAAGACATTGAAACTTGACGGCCTAGAAAATCAATTAAGAAAATGTTTAAATATTCCATGTGACTACAGTGGCTCAAGTATAAGTTTATATAGATTTGAAGATCACAGTTCTCGCGCATGCGTCGTGGAAATCTCTTGAACTCTCGTCTCAGGCCTACAAGGAAGAAAAGGAATAGTTGAATAAAGTTGTTATTTTTGTTTGTTTTTTCGAAACAAAAAGTATTCTCGTCGCTTGCTAAACTTATAGTTGAGCCGCTGTAGTCACATGGAATATTTAAACATTTTCTTCATTGACTTTCTGGGCCGTCAAGTTTCAATGTCTTAGACTTTCAATGTCAATGTCTATGTAGCAGTGATCAACCTCTCAAATTAATCAAAATATCTTCATTTGTGTTCTGAAGATGAACGAAGGTCTTACGGGGTTGGTGCAGCTTGGGGGTGAGTAATTAATTACTTCATTTTCATTTTTTGGGTGAACTAACCCTTGGTCACAGCATGCATATCTTGAAGTATTGAAGGGGAATTTTGTTACCATATTCCTGAAGACAATAAAGCCTGTCAACTTCCACTTAATGTTCCACGTCCATTCCTTTAGCACCACCATAAAGCACAATTTTCTATTGTACACAATGTTTGAACCTGTGAGGTGAATATATTGTATTATACTTTTATTTTTTATACTGACCTTGTCAGTTTTTACTATCAAATGGCGAAAATGTCAACTTATATTTGATTAGCACATTCCACGGGGATAGTACCAGTTTTGAACCAGTAGTAGTAAAAAATAACTATTTGCATTTATACTTTCAGTAAAAAAAACTAAGTTTTTAATAATGAGTAAATGTAACTTTAAAATACACTAACATTTAAAAAAAACAAAAAACAAAATAGATCCCACTTGAAATGTGTAATATGGAAATGTAAAAAGCTTGTTGGATTCAATCAAAATTACTCATTCAGAACTCTTAAAGTTATGTAGATCACACACATAAATAAATTACTAGAGCAATGCTAAAATTAAGTTAACTTTATGTGAAAATTCTATTTCAACAAACAGAAAAATTAAGTAGTTTCTACAAAGACTTGTCTTGTTGGATCTACGTAACAAAATTATGCAAAAAAATTCATTAGATTTTTTAAGTAAATCAAGCAGATTATTTTTATCAATAGACATTCTCAGTGCAAAGCCTTGTCCCTTCTTCCACCCCAACAGGTAACGGGGGATCAGGCGGGTTAACCGGGGTGCTGGAAGGGGACCGTCTCAGGCGAGATTCCAATTCGGTCAAATAGTAAATATTTTTGACACCCTTTTGAATGACGTTTCCCAAGATTAAATATTGCGATGCTATAAGTGTGCCGTAAATGTGAAAGGCAAAACAAGAGGCTGTCAGTGACCCTCTGCGAGTAAACAAACTAAATAACTTGAAACCAAAAACAACATATACGGACACCCCTGAATGCACCTACTGTACATTGTCAGTAATCATGCTCTATATGAGGATGTATCCGTTATGATTTGAAAAAATGACATAGCAAGCTTTATTTTATGTATCTCTCTCAGGATTCATTGTGCGCGGTCCCTCTGGTCCTCTGGTTGCTCCTCTGGGATCTTCACTGGTTCTGCCCTGTTATGTTGATGAACCTTTACTAATGGAGGATCTGGAGGTGGAGTGGAGAAGAACAGACTCAGAGACTTTAGTTCATCTGTTTCAAGATGGAGAGAGTCGACCAGAGGCACAGTCGCAGGATTATCAGGACAGAGCTCATTTCTTCACTGAGGAGATTAAACACAGAAACTTCTCCCTCCGGCTGGACCATCTGAGAGCTGAAGATGAAGGACGATACACATGTACAGTTCACAGTCAGCTGGAGTCTGGAGAAACTGAGGTTCAAATAAAAGATGTTGGTGAGTCTGAACTGAAATGATCTGTGTGTGTAGATAGGTGTGTGATATTTACACAGTTTGTTCTTTCAGAGCGTTTGCTGGTCTCAGGATCAGATCGGTCCATCTCTGCGTCTGTGGGTGAAGACGTCACTCTGAACTGCTCTGTCGACTCTCACATCAAACCTGAACACTTAGATGAGGTTTCCTGGAAGAAAATTGATAAAGAGAATGAAGATGAAGATGTTCTGGTCCTGCTCTACCAAAACAACAAGACCTTTCCAGGTTCATCAGATGAGCGATACCGAGACCGAGCTGAGTTCTTCACCGCTGAAATCCCCAAAGGAAACTTCTCTGTCCAACTGAAGAGCGTCAGAACGGAGGATAAAGGGGTTTACATGTGTCATGTGTTTGCTGGAAGACATTCAGCCAATGCAACTGTAGTGCTGGACCGACTGGGTGAGTCAATCTATAAATAATACACAAGTGGAATTTAGTTATGCATTTACATGCAGTTGTATTTAAAGGGTTAGTTCACCCAAAAATGAAAATTAAGTCATTAATTACTCACCCCCATGCTGTACCAACCCCGTAAGACCTTCGTTCGTCTTCGGAACACAAATGAAGATATTTTTGATTAAATTTGAGAGCTGTATAACTACCACATTGGCTCCTAAAGGACTGCCTCTTGACGGCCCAGAAAGTCAATGAAGAAAATGTTTAAATATCCCAAGTGACTACCGTGGCTCAACTATATGTTTATCAAGCGACGCGAATACTTTTTGTGCGAAAAAACAAACAAAAATAACGAGTTTATTCGACTATTTTTTTCTTCCTCGTAGGCCAGAACGAGACTTCCTTATAGATTTCCACGACGCATGCGCGAGATTTGCGATCTGCGTACACCAGCTTACACCACTTCAGATCGCAATTCTCGCGCATGCGTCGTGGAAATCTATAAGGAAGTCTCGTTCTGGCCTACAAGGAAGAAAAAAATAGTCGAATAAACTCGTTATTTTTGTTTGTTTTTTCGCACAAAAAGTATTCGCGTCGCTTGATAAACATATAGTTGAGCCACGGTAGTCACTTGGGATATTTAAACATTTTCTTCATTGACTTTCTGGGCCGTCAAGAGGCAGTCCTTTAGGAGCCAATGTGGTAGTTATACAGCTCTCAAATTTAATCAAAAATATCTTCATTTGTGTTCCGAAGACGAACGAAGGTCTTACGGGGTTGGTACAGCATGGGGGTGAGTAATTAATGACTTAATTTTCATTTTTGGGTGAACTAACCCTTTAAAGGAGCAATGTGTGACTTTTAGCGACATCTAGTGGTTCGGTTGCGAGTTTGCACCAGGTTTGCACTAAGGGCTCACCCCTCCCTTTCGAAGAAGCTACGGTTGCTAAAACGGGACAAACATCTCGTCGGCTGAGACAGCAGAGAATAGCCAGAGTAAGCCAAGAGTGTGTAACATTGTCACTGTTTCTGTACCACAGTCCATTATAAACCACATCATGAATACTGTCTGTTTACAAAGCCATAGTCAGGTGAGGATCAAGGGTTTTAATATATAATTTAATAAAATAATAATCAGCTGATTGTCTCACAAACGTAACCAGCAGCACATTTCTCCCCACATACTGTAGCAAACCCATAATACAGCGAGGGAGCAGCTATATATTTTTTCTAACAGGGTAGTAATAGTTTAGCTGGCTAATATGAGCTGTTACTGTGGCTGAGCTGGGACGCGTCTGCATGAGTCCAAAGGTCGGAAGTGCGCGCGCTGTTACAATCATGTCATCTCCGCATCCCATAGATACTATTTACTACACACAATAGGCTTTTTTTCTCTGATTTTTAAAATTCTTCGCGATCGACTTTAGTGATAAAAGACTTTAGTAAAAGTCTCTATCGACGGGTTAGTGATTCCTGTAACGTACTGTTTTTACGGTCAATGACATGAATACTAATCATCAGCTGTCTCACGAACGTAACAGCACATCTATCCCCACATAACAAACCCATAACACAGCGAGGGAGAACTAAGTTACATGAAACAATCCCAACTACATATTTTACACCACTCACAAGGGAAAAGTCACTACTCACGGAGTGTAAGGCTAGCTTCCAGCTTTCCGCTACTTCTCTTTCAAGGTAGTGATGAAACGCGTTCTGTAGCGCTGTTTGTTCGCGTTCGGCTACGGTAGGAATATGACGTCACAACATGGCGACCTTCATAGAAGGGGATTCCCTCGGTTATGGAGCTATTAATGTCTCGTTCTAAGGTAATAAAAACATTACGACTAATTAAGTAAGTTCTTTATACACCACTGAAAACATAGTTATGGATGTCATATTGCATTTCTGTTAATAGATACTCAACTTTGTTACACATTGCACCTTTAAAGTTTATTAAGATTCCAATTTTAACCTCAAAGTGATTTTGATTTCTTCTAATGAATGCACACACTGTAGCTGTGTGAAGTCATGTGATCTCAGAGGAACTGTCACTCTACAGTCGTTTTTATGTAATGCTGTTCGGTTATTGTCCATTAAAAACAGTTGCTGTATAGCAGAATACACAGTTCAGGACAGTGATCTTCACGAGATACACCATATGTTAGCTGTAACTTCAGTCACACACAAAGCACATTTAAATCCTTCATTTTATTTCTTTTTTTCTGAATGCTTGCATGAAATTATAAAAAGGACAGTTTTGACTTGTCAATTAACATTAAAACATTCAATATATTGTTTTTATATTTATGTAGTTTAGTTTTTTATTATATATAAGTTTTATTATATTAATGATTTGCTTTCTAATGGGATATTCTGCAATTATCTTTTCAGTTATTAGTTTTTTTTTATTATTGAACTGCTTTTTTCTCAGTACTTTTTCGAAACTTGTCACACAGTTCTCTTTCATCTTTTCAACTTTCATCTTCACACACACATTTTACATTCTTTATTAGTACTCATATCCATCATGTACATATATTTTTTCAGATGGTAAAGAAAAGTCCATAAGTGCATAAAACATGGAAAATCATATAAAAGCACATTCCAGCAAACATAGCCGTAACCACAGCATATTAAAGGAGAACTCCGGCGAACAATGAACCTTTGGTCTAATAAAACATCGGTACATAGTCAACTGTTCTCTGAGATTTGTTTTCATGATAATCGAATGTAAAGAGTTTTATCTCTAAAAACTGTTTAGCGTATAATGCTAGTAATGGGGGCATTGAGTAAGTAAAAAGAAATCGCTAGTTTATACCAATAACAAGGCTCAAAATAGCCCCACACTAACACAGTAACATAATGAGGCTCCATACATGCAAAACGAAGCATTGAGAACTTTGTAAGTGTACAGACCGTTTAATAAGAAGATACTTTATGAAGACAGTTCACTTCGCGTATACAGACAGGAGCCATCTTAAAAAATAGTCTCGATAAGTCAAACCACGAACGCCGTTCATACAGTTCAGAAGTTCGCTGAACTTCATACAGTTCAGATCACTCAGCACGACGTTCGGGGATCGACTTATCGAGACTATTTTTTAAGCTGGCTCCTGTCTGTATACGCGAAGTGAACTGTCAGAGAACGGTTGACTATGTACCGATGTGTTATTAGACCAAAGGTTCATTGTTCGCCGGAGTTCTCCTTTAACACTAACACAAAATTACTTTAGGTAGAGACAAAATTAAACCATTCTCCAAATTATGAAGACATGTTTGATTACCTAATAACCACTGTTTATGGATGCAGAGAAAGAAGTAAATATGTAATATTTCATAAGTACAGTATTGCAGGTGCGCTGCTCTATAGGAAAAGGCTGATTGACCAAAAGCTCTTCTTCAGTGTGTTATTGTACAATCTCCTCTTGTAGATGAGTTATGATTTGATCTAACGAACTCATTAAGTGGAGGTGGAGCCATACCATGCAAACTTCTATATATAAGAAACTTTGCAGAATAATGTTATTAATAACTGTGTGTTTGACAGGTTTCTCTGCGTTACACATAATAATGCTGATTCTCTGTATCTCTGCATCTGGATCTGCACTTCTGCTCGTCTGTCTGATCTACTGCAGATCTACTACTGAAGGTACACAAATAACACACACATTCTGATTTACTGCCATACAGTGGGAATGAGTTTGAACCGAATAATAATAATAATAATAATAATTAAAGCTGCAAGCAGCATTTATCGGGGTTCAAGCAGTTAAGGCATTTAAGCACCAAAGCATCAAAAGACATTGTCTTATGTAGCAAGCATTTAACCACTGAGATCATAGATGAAATAGACAGTTTTTCCACATTTCAGGGTCATTTTTCATGCATTACCATGTTCCAGTATGATTTACCATGAATCTCGAATGATTTAACATGATTTTACACACACACACACACACACACACACACACACACACACACACACACACACACACACACACACACACACACACACACACACACACACACATATATATTATATATATTCATTCACTTCGTGCTTGAACCCCTAATAATAATAATTGTTACGATGTGGAAGACTCAGTGGGATCCATTTGCAGCTTTATTGAAACAACGTCAAACAGACAGGAGTTAGATAACAGCAAAACAGGGTATTCAGAGAGAGAGAGAGCACAGAGAATGGTCGGGTAACAGGCAGAAGATCAGGGCAGGCAGCAAGAAACAATAATCCAAGGCAATCCGAGTCAAGACAGGCAGCAAACAGGCAGAAGTCAGAAAACAAACCAGGGTCAGTAAACAGTAAACGCTCAGTGATTACAGACAGTGGCAATGTAATACTTCACACTCAACTTCTGTTTGTGTGTGGCTCATATGGAGAGTCTGAATTAGGTGCAGGTGTGTGTGCAATCAGTCCCAGGAGTGAGGCATTATGGGGATTAGAGTTTTGTGAAGTGATCAGTTCTGATGTGGAGTGCCCTCTGGTAATAGCTTGTTTTCATATGACGTCACGCTACTGTGTTGCCATGGCGCAAACCGCAGATGGAGGGCAGGAAGTGATTTCTATATTAGGAAGCACTATAACACACTCAAAATGCCTATGTTTTGCGTCGTTTATGGTTGCTCAAATCGATCAAACCATGAGGAGTTTTTATCGTGCCAAAAGTTGTTGTTCATAAGGGGGAAAATACAAGAAATTGACAGAAAAACACCAGGAAAAATGCCTTGCAAACCTACGTCTGCGGTCGGGAGGAGCCGAATGGGAAAATGCCTGTGTGTGTGTGTGGCTGTGTGCAGTGATCACTTCGTCAAATGTAAGTTAATACATTATTTATGTGGCTTATAATTACATTATTCAGGTGTTTAAATACACTTATGTGGCTGTTTGTTTAACGTACCAGTTTCCGAACTTTGTAAAGTCGAAGTATGTCTGTAAGACGAGTTAGTTGCTGATATCTAAAGGCAAATCTCTCAATTCAGTTGAAAATCGCTCCTCCTCATAACGTAAGGATCACGTCCAACATATGTTTCGATTTTCTGTTTATATATTTCTCTTGTAATAGCGTCTAAAGTAGTACAGTACGGATTTTCCTCCAACTCGTCCATTGCGCTCTTCACTCCTTGCCCTCCATCTGCAATCTGCGCATCAACACGATCACGTGACCGCAAACCACCTATTCTGACATTTGAAATGAAAATTCTCTCCTCAATCAGTGTTCAGTTATTTATAATATATTACGTTTGTGTTTGCCACTCAGTTTCATTCAGTTATAAATGTAATGGGCAGAAAGAACAGAGATGTGTGTCTTAAAACTGAATGACTGATAATCATCTTTATTAAATCTGTTTACAGTTTTCCTGATTTGCTAAAACACTAAACCTCATTCTCTGATCCAAATTCTCAATAGCCTGAACCAATTTGTTGAATAAATCACTCTTTCTGTAAAACATTAAACAAGTTCAGGTGATTAAAACACTGTTTGCAGATCTCATGCACTCTGACATTCTCACTCTACAACACACAGTTTACACACAACGACTCAGACATTCGATACTGTTCAATATTCAGTGCAATACCAGACTTGTGGATACAGTAATTATTTTATTCACCTTATCACTGTATTGGCATTATACTTTTATCTGTAACATGCTCTGAAGTCTGTTTTCTGTTTTTTGATGTGTCTAATGCATGATCTGTAGTGTTCATAATTTTGACTCGTGTGTGTGTGTGTGTGTGTGTGTGTGTGTGTGTGGCCTGAGAGCGTTGTGTGATTTTGAGCACAGGTAAAGTGGTCTTGAGGCAATAGTTTGATTTTGCCAGTATATAATTGATATAAATATATGATAATTTGCCAGTATAAATTGATTTTGTCAGTATAGAGTCAGCGTTTCTGTGGATGTGTGTGAAAGTGTGGTTTTGTGTGTAAGGTTTTGAGAAAGTGAGTGATGGTTTCAGTAATTGAGAAAAACTGTAAGTGAACGTGTTATTGTGTGTTTCTCTCAGACTCAGTCTTTCATCTTCAGATGTTCCTCGTCTTCTGTCCAAATATTCTGATGTGTCTCGCTTTCGTCCTCTGGGGGTTATCTGAAGGTCAGTGTTTCAGGATATTAATAATCAATAACTCATATATGTGTGTGTGTGTGTGTGTTTCAGGATCTGTGTTTGAGTCGGTCTGTTGTTAGTAATGTGTGTTTGTGTGTGTGTGTGTGTTTCAGGATCTGTGTTTGAGTCGGTCTGTTGTTAGTAGGTGTGTGTGTGTGTGTTTGTGTGTGTGTGTTGTGTTTCAGGATCTGTGTTTGAGTCGGTCTGTTGTTAGTAATGTGTGTGTGTGTGTGTGTGTGTGTGTGTGTTTCAGGATCTGTGTTTGAGTCGGTCTGTTGTTAGTAATGTGTGTGTGTGTGTGTGTGTGTGTGTGTGTGTTTCAGGATCTGTGTTTGAGTCAGTCTGTTGTTAGTAATGTGTGTGTGTGTGTGTGTGTGTGTGTGTGTGTGTGTTTCAGGATCAGTGTTTGAGTCGGTCTGTTGTTAGTAATGTGTGTGTGTGTGTGTGTGTGTGTGTGTGTGTGTGCGTGTGTGTGTGTGTGTTTCAGGATCAGTGTTTGAGTCAGTCTGTTGTTAGTAATGTGTGTGTGTGTGTGTGTGTGTGTGTGTGTGTGTGTGTTTTAGGATCAGTGTTTGAGTCAGTCTGTTGTTAGTAATGTGTGTGTGTGTGTGTGTGTGTGTGTGTGTGTGTGTGTGTGTGTGTGTGTGTGTGTGTGTGTGTGTGTGTGTGTGTGTTTCAGGATCAGTGTTTGAGTCGGTCTGTTGTTAGTAATGTGTGTGTGTGTGTGTGTGTGTGTGTGTTTTAGGATCAGTGTTTGAGTCGGTCTGTTGTTCTGCTCTGTATCTCGTGAGGCCGCTGATGTTGCTCTGGACGGCTCCGTATATCAATAACTTCACAGGTGTGGCTGATTTATTATATTTATAGATTCATATAGTATATCAATTATGATTGACTCATTGTTTTCACATAAACTGACAGTAATTTTACATTAAATTCAATGTTAAACTTGTGTTTTGTTGTGTTGCTGTTGTAAATGATATAGTGGATGTGATTATTTGTTCTGTTTTACAGGCAACATTAAAAGATGGATTAAACATTACAGTTATAAGGCAGAATATTTTGTTTTCTCAGCTGTGTTTTACTCAGGTAAATAACTCCAAATGCACATCCACAGTCATTATCATTAACACATTAACAGTTGAACAATAATTACATGTAAATGATGTAATATTCTCAATATCCTGCCGGAAATCTTAAACCCATGACATGAATACTGTGAAGTGTGTTGTTGTTACTGTAAGATATTCTACACTACACCGCCGCTTAATTATGGAAATATTGCATGAATTATCACAGTAGACATCATGTAGAGACTGAGACTGAAGATAAAGTTACTTCTGATTGACATCTCAGCATGTGTCAGGGTCATCATCAGCACAAAGGTCAAGGGTCACGATCAGACAGAGAATGTGTTGTAATGTTGTGTATAAAAGCATCTGTTCAATGAGAAGTGTTTTATAATATGTATTTATATTTTTCTTTTCTATTTCAGTAATTGTTGTTTCTCTTCCTTTATTCCAGTGTTGTTTAAATCTGCGTATGACAAAAGTCTGAACTACGCTGGATCTGAAGGAGTCGTGATTATAGTCCTGTTTGTGATCGCGCTCCTGCTAAACCTCCTCATTATTATCTACTGTAAGTGTTTCTTCCATCCAGAGTCAGTCACAATATGAGCTGTCAATCATATTTACCAGATTACTGGAGTCAGGGTTACAGAATACACAAATCATCATCACACCTGATTTATCAGCTCATTCCATATCATTACACATATCAGAGTTATACCATATCATTCATTACACATATCAGAGTTTTACACGAGAAACTGATGAAAGAATAGAAGAAAAACAGAAAGTAAAATAATCAAAGTGTACGTTTGTAATGTATGAAATGAGTAAAAGAGAAAGTCCCGGTGATTAAAGGATGTAAACTGAGTGAATCAGCTCGTAAAGTCATGAGTTTATTCAGTCTCAGATCATCGAGTGATTTAAAACAGGACAGATTCTCCAGCTATACACCACATACTCAATTATTCATATTAGCACACTGTATATTAACATTAATATACATATTAATATACACATGTGTCATTATGCAGACTTGTGTGTGTTTCTGGCGTGTGTTATCGCTCTCCCTCACACACACTCTCAGCACTTTCATCATTATTATCTTCTGCACACACTCTCTTATTGAAGGGTTTTCTGAGGCGTTCGATCCCTCTTGACATTGATCCACTGATTCTCTGATTCACTGATTCTCTGATTCACTGATTCTCTGATTCACTGATTACCTCATTCATTTATTCTCTGATTCACTGATTACCTCATTCATTTATTCACTGATTCTCTGATTCACTGATTCTCTCATTCATTTATTCACTGATTCTCTGATTCACTGATTCACTGATTCTCTGATTCACTGATTCTCTGATTCATTGATTCACTGATTCTCTTATTCTATGAATCACTGATTATCTGATTCATTGATTCATTGAGTCTCTGATTCACTGAATCTCTGATTCTCTAATTCACTGAGTCTCTGATTCACTGAGTCACTGATTCTCTGATTCACTGAGTCTCTGATTCATTGATTCTCTGATTCTATGAATCAATGATTCTCTGATTCATTGATTCACTGATTCTCTGATCCACTGATTCACTGATTCTCTGATTCACTGATTCTCTGATTCACTGATTCTCTCATTCATTTATTCACTGATTCTCTGATTCACTGATTCTCTGATTCATTGATTCACTGATTCTCTCATTCACTGATTCTCTGATTCATTGATTCACTGATTCTCTGATTCTCTCATTCATTTATTCACTGATTCACTGATTCTCTGATTCATTGATTATTGAGTCTCTGATTCACTGAGTCTCCGATTCACTGATTCTCTGATTCTCTGATTCACTGAGTCTCTGATTCACTGAGTCTCTGATTCTCTGATTCACTGAGTCTCTGATTCATTGATTCTCTGATTCTATGAATCACTGATTCTCTGTTTCATTAAATCACTGAATCTCTGATTCACTGATTCTCTCATTCATTTATTCACTGATTCTCTGATTCACAGATTCTCTGATTCATTGATTCACTAATTCTCTGATTTTATGAATCACTGATTATCTTATTCATTGATTCATTGATTCTCTGATTCTCTGAGTCACTGAGTCTCTGATTGTCTGATTCACTGATTCTATGATTAATTGATTCTCTGATTCTATGAATGACTGATTCATTGATTCACTGAGTCTCTGATTCACTGATTCTATGAATCGCTGATTCTCTGATTCATTGATTCACTCAGTCTCTGATTTTCTGATTCACTGATTCTCTGACACACACACACACACACACACCTGTCCCACCCACTGGCAAAACAAAGATAAGCCACTGTATATTAATTGAGTTAATGTAGCAGCCCAAGTTCGTATCAGGCGTCATCACATCGCGATCTGAAGAGCGAAGCCAGAATCGTGGATCGAGTGAGAGCGAGTGTTCATGCCAGACCAACGTCTAGATAAGTTCATCGAAAGCCAGCAGTTCGCCAGTCGCCATCTTTGTTTTCAAGCAGCAGTGCACTGAAACTCCGCCTCAATGACCATGGCCTTGAATTTCCTGCATCAAACTATGGTTTCTAGGAGCAAACTATGGCAAAATTAATATGAGTATTCCTGAATTATTTTTGTTTCAAAAATGTATATTTGGAATAAAATAAATGCAATTAATAATATGGTGAATAATCAAAGCTCTTGGAATGAATAAATGTAATGTGAACATTTCCTTTGGTGTGTGTCTACCCTGAGCACACGTCCCTGCTTCCAGACCACCATAAATCATGGAAATAAATCATATAATTCAATCCTGTATTATTATATCTAGTGTCAGATCTGAAATATAGACATCATCAGTTCAGGCGCTTATAGAGAAACACACACACTTTATATTCATATTTCACTGCACACACACACATTACACAATGTTCTGGTTATGAAGGTGATTATGATGATTGTTGTTATTTATGATTATCATATTCATATAAAGCAATTACTCAGTTTACATTCGATATCAATAAAAACACATGATCCACTTCTCTCAGATTAGATTATTATTGATCATTCATATATTTATTTTTTTATGGAATCAAATACTGATAAAATACTGATGAAATTAGTAATCACAACTCAATTCAACATTATAATAACTAATAATATTGTTTCATTTTGCCTTAAAATGAGGATATCTGCGATATGTCAACAAAAGCATAAACCATCATCATAACCCATAAATACAGGAGTAAACTCACTTCACTAACTCACAATCTTCACATAATCATTCATCATTTCCCTCTTAAAAACTATAAACTTATGAATATCACACTGGAAAACTCTTAAACACACATGAATAACTCATTACTGTATCAAACACACACAATATCACACACACATTCAAAGCATTATGAAGACATTATGAAACATGTTGTCAATAATAAATGTGTGAAGAGTGCATTAATTCTGCATGAGTTGTATGAGTTATGAACTGTAGTTTATCTTTCACAGTGTTGCTCAGATTATCTGTGACGCTGAGCGAGCGGATCATTGCTATATTTGGTGTTCTGGGTGGTATAAGCTATGATGTTCTTCCTTCACTGCAGTTCATCCTCCTGATCTTCAGCTTCGGGTCGAGAACAGGTCAGATTACACTCATGATCAACTCTATACATTCTATAAACTCTATTAACTCTATTCATGACAACTCTAATAACTCTATTAAACTCT